AAGGGAAGCTGAAGTATGAAAAGTGCAAAGACATATCCTGGTTTCGCCTGGGATAGAGTTCATTTTCTTCCCAGTAGCTGGCATAGTGCTGTGCTTTGGATTTAGCATGAGAAGAATGTTGATAACACGCTGATGGTTTAGGTGTTGCTAAGCAGTGCCTACACCAGGCAAGGACTTCTCAGCTCTCAGCTCTGCCAGGTGCACAAGGAGCTGGGAGGGGGCACAGCCAGGACAGCTGACCCCAACTGGCCACAGGGCTATTCCAGACCATATGGTGTCATGCTCAGCACATAAAGCTGGGAGAAGCAGGGGACTCTCAGAGTGATGCCGTCTGTCTCCCCAAGTCACCGTGACGTGTGATGGATCCCTGCTTTCCTGGGGATGGCTGAACCCCTGCCTGCCGATGGGAAGCAGGGAATGAATTCCTTGCTTTGCTTTGCTTGTGTGTGCAGCTTTTGCTTTCCCTATTAAACTGTCTTAATCTCAACCCACGAGTTTTCTCACTTTTCCGATTCTCTCCCCCATCCCACTGTGGGGGGAGTGAACGAGCAGCTGCGTGGTTCTCGGTTGGGCTGGGGTTAAACCACGATGGGGTGGAAAGCTGATTTCCCAAATGGAAGAGCATTGCATTGATCCTTACCTGGCCCGTGCAGTGACAACGGGTTGGGCAGCAGGCGTGGTCCCCAAGTTCCCCAGCCACCTACGTCAGGGGCCTGAACCAAAGCTCCCTTCTGGACTACACCAGTGTGTTTCTTTCCCTTGGAAACCAGGGGAGTTAGGGAGGGAGGACAAGCTGCTCTGTGCCCAGATTTCACAAAGACACAAGGCTGATGTGTGGCTGGAGCACTCAGGCTCAGGAAGAGCTTGGAATTGCTCCAGGTCCTCCAGATTATTCAGGGGAGCACAGTCTTCCTGAAAGCCCAAATGCAGGCACAGGTAGGATTAAATACACATTTCTATTTTGTTTGTAACGTTGAGCAGCTTTAAATCTTGCTTACAAAAGGGACAAATGCTGGTTGCTCGCTACCAGTCTTCTGCAACTAGCAGGTAACTCGCACACAGAGCTCTCTCTAAAGGCCTGCGAACTTAAAATAGGGCACCACCGTCAGCATCCGGGGCTACACTCAGACTATGGCTCCTATTCATTCCCTAAGGGAAGACGGAAAGATGAAGAACCACTCTTTGGGGTTATTCAAAGACTGAAGGAGGCAGCAGAGGTGGAGGGGATGTACCAATGCTCCGCAGAGGTGACCATGGACCGTTACTGCTTTCGTGAGCCGGCCGAAGCCTTTTCCAGGCAGTCGCTCTAAGGGACTTCAAGACGTCGTACAGCCTCTCCCCTGGTCTCAAGACAAGACTGACTGCACTAACATCATTCCTGGGAGACAGCAGCCTAAACTGTTCTCTTAAAAAATAGTGGAGGCTCTGCCATCTCCCTGGGCAATCTGTCCCCCACGTTTCGCTGTTACATAACTTAATGCTCCTCTCCTGCAATTTAAGTCCATTAGTTCTTGAGGCCAGAGAACAGTTTGTCCCTTCTGTTTCACAGCTATTTCTATGTGTTAGAAAAAGGTTATCACGTCTCCCCTCAGCCTCTTGTACTCCAAGCTAAGCAATCCCAGCTTCCCAGTTCATCACACAGAAGCCAGGCTGCTGCTGGCTGGTGATAGCTTTCGGTAACTGCTGACTGGGCTGGATTTGCACCAGCAACCTGTAGGTGAAAGCCTTCGGCAGCTTTAGCTCTCTGAGCCAGGCTGCCCTTTCAAAGACGTGAAACTTTCTTCTGTAATCCATTGCAGCGCATCAGTAAATATACATCACAGTACTGTAAATTTCTGGAATTTTCTCCGTCACGTTAGGATATCATAACAAGAAGAAAGGAAAAGACACTCTAATGGAAGTGTACTGAAGGGCTAAACTTAAGCTTCTAAACAGGTCTCAAAGAGTAGAGAGGAAAACGCAATATATTGTGTTACCACCTTCCCCACTCCATCCCCTCTTCTGAACAAATGAAATGAAATGCATGAACCATGTCTTGGTTTGCAAATGAAACTTGGTATTTGTATTTGCTGCAATGTCTCAGAGTGCTGTTTTTCATTTTAGACTTTGCATGGTAGTAAACACTGCAATGCTTTACATTCATTAAGCTCGGGCCCATTTACTCTGTGCAGGCAAAGCAAGTACATATATCTCAGATCCATAAAGCATCAGTTCAGAATTACACAGGAAATAAATGAGCCTAAGCCAGAAGTCCAATTTCCAGAGTCCAGCTCACTAAAGCTAAACAAGCACCTTAGATAAACATGGCCTATTTTAAATGAAACGTTAGTGTAATTTGATAACTGTCAATAATTCCCTCATTATGCTTAAATGAGCCTGTCATCCAAGGAGATTGCTGCATGGCTGATCTTAATTTGCTAATAAAAACCGCAGAGAAGAATTTCAGCTAAGCTGGAACTATTTGATTCATAAAAGTGCAATAGTGCGCTTTTTAAAGCGTTCCTTCCCAGTCCTGGCTCCTGACTGGCTGAAGCCCAAAGCCAGTTTGCTCTGCAGCCTGTCAGAAGGCAGCTTTGCTACGTAAGAACAACGAGCAATTGTCTCTCTAAATCACTATTATTCCTTAGCCCATTATATTTAATTTATTTTTAATCATGTTGTATAATAGAAATAAAATCGTTGGATTAAGCATATATCTAGCAGCAGGAGCCCATTATCCTTTGACAATGTTCTGTTTCATTGACATTATATCTTCATTGTAGACAGTTTCCATGCCATCATTAGTCCTAAAATGACTATTGGATTTCAAGGGTTTCTCCCTAATCCATAATAAGATTTACTTGCTAACAGCACAAAACAAAACAAAGGTATGCTTCTATTGTTTTACTGCTGTGGAATTCTTATTCTAAGCTATTCAGAAAAGTCAAGAATAAATCCAGACATTGTAAGTATTTAAAGTTTTCCTGCATACTTCTGATTCAACGGAAAGTCTCAGTAACTTTGTAAGCTTTAGATCTTTGTTACACATCGTGACTTTATTTTACTGAAGCAAGCAACAACGCTTTGTCAGTTCTTCAACTGAGTAAGAGCTACTATTCCTTGCACAATGACTTTTTCAGAGCAGTTAAAGCAATCTCAGCACAGTCCATTTTCACCAGACAGGGCTATGAGGGGTTCCTCAGATTCCATGGGAAGAAACAGGGAGAAACTTCCAGGCTAGGCTGCCTGCGGTTCCTCTGTGATAAGTGCTAGCTAACAGAGTCAGCACTAATATCAGGAAGTTAAAAAACTCCTCTGGCATGCTGATCCCCATGGGATAATTCAACAGCTCTTCGTTTTTACCAACAGCAGTCACAGTTAAATCTAAAACTAGATTTTTTTTTTCCACACCCTATTAACAGCAGCATTAGAATGCAGCAGGGACCATCCGGAGAAAGAGCGTTTTCTGTTATCTCATAGTTATCTTTGAGGAGGTGGAAGATTTCCCTGTGAAAATTATCCTTATAGATTGCCCCTTATTTAAGGATACGCTGGCACTATCAAGTGGTACTCTTTTTATGCTGAAATTGCTAGCGACACTTAAGAGTATCTGCATGACTCTCTCAGCTGGGAGAGCAGCTTCAATAGATACCTACTTTCCATATATGTAGACAGGCTATGACACTTTCACCCATACTGACATGATCTGCATAAGCCGTGTGGTTTCCATTAAGAAGGTTCCATACAATATAGTCAAACTCTCCATTATCTTGCCTAATAGGAGAAGAGAATAACCCAGATAAAGGAAAGACATGCATAATTATTGCTTCCAGATAAGAGCCATCTCAAATATTCCTGCACTGTGCTCCCCAGACAGAGCTTGTACTTCTGTCAGAGCTTGCTAACTTTGAGTTTATTAACTCAGGCGTTACCTGCATCCATCTGGTACAAGCTAGGCAGCTTGGGTGCCTCTATGATTTAATCACCCCACAAGTAATCTACTAACTGATAATCGTCTTGGCTATAATTAAATAACAACTTCCATATTCACCCTTTTATACGTGCTGATACTGATACAGCGTAGACCCAGTCATGCATGGCCACGTCAAGGTTGAATGTGGCATAATGAGGAAAGGCAAATTATGCATGAAACGCAAGAGGAGTATGTTCAGAAGATGAGGGAACGCGGAAGGCACACAATGATGTAGAAGGGTTTTATATTCACATCTAACAACCTGGAATTAACACAAGCACTTCCTCTCTTATTCCCAGATAGCCCTCGCAGAGGAAGCTCACTCAGGACTGTCACAGGTAACACGTGCATGAACTAGAACTACCTTTCCACATGAATTGTCCGAGGTTTGGGGTTTGGTTTTTTTTTTTTTTATTGTGTTGCAATTACTCAGCCACGTTGAACATTTGTCTGTTGTGAGTTCTCATAATCTGTAATCTCCACAGATCTTTTAGTATTGACACATAACCTTCCTGATTTCAGCATCCATGTATAAATTGTGTAGTTTGGTCACAAGAGACACTCAATTCTGTTACAGATACATGGGCAAAACATTGTCTTCACCACTACAGAAAGAAATACAGATTCTCTTACAAAGAAAATGAAAATGTTGCAAATATTTTTTTTCTGGATTCTTATGGGAGGAAAGGGATTATAAAGAAATTAACTCAGACTTAATGAAATCAGCAACACCATCTCTTTCACAGTGAAGTGAATCATCTTGTGGAAACAAAACCATTGCCAGGAAAGTTTTTAATGGTGTACTTGTACATGACATTGTGTTGAGGAATTGACGATTATATTCTGCCACACTCCATGTTGCATTTACGAATTAGCATTGCCTTGGTTTGTCTGCACATTACAATTAGACAGAGCTACACAATGATGCAAGCCACAGGCCAAACTGTAAAGGGAAAATTGATGGGTTTGAGAAGTTACCCATATCATGTGATGTTACTAGACTGGCTACAGAAAAAGCAATTGACAGCAAATCACAGTGCCACACATATCAAATCCCTAAATATCGGTTCATTTTGCTTAAAGCATCACATACGGTGTTTAGATCACTCCGGAGGTCCTGGACAACGTTTTCTATACTCCTGGTATCCTTCAGAATCTCAATGCTTTGTGTATATGGATTGAAATACACAGAGAAGGGACGATTGATTGATTTGGCAAAGTCCCTGAAAGAAAAAAGAAAGTTAACATCTTTTTTTTTTTTTTTGACCTCTTCAGAAGAGAAAATTAGATTTTTTGAGTCAAGGGAAATAATTTACCTCATCTTTTCTTTGGCTTCTTCAAAACTTTCTGAAACAAAGTAAGCTTCCTGGAAAGTAGTGATAAGGCATTCTTGCAAACAGGTTGTCTTTGGATCGAATGTTTTCACATTGGCCTTGTCAGAGAGAGCATGCTGCAAAATACACCACAGGATCTGTTAAACCGTATCTTGATACTGCTGTGTATTTATACAACTGTTTATATATACAGCTTTTACATCACTGTGCTGTATGTTTTCCATTAGTTGGTAGCCTCTCTTGTTTTATGTATAGTGTTTTTTTCAGTTTAAACAGTATAGATCACTTGTTTCTTAAAAAAGCTCTTTTTATGAGAATAATTTTTTCCCCAAAATAATTATTAAAATAATGAAGAGGAGATTAGAAATGTACCTGCCATGTAGGCATACAGACCTAAATCTTCATCTGGAAACAGGAAAGTCATCAAATAACCATTCCTGAAAAAATATCTATACAACTACAAATACGTATGTCCCCAAAATGTCACTTAGTGGGTGAATTGACTCTGACCAAACCGTTCTTTACATTTTCAGGCCAAAATCATATACTATTTTCCTGACAGCAGAGTTTAAAAGTGAAACTATAGATCTGAAAACCCATTAAATAACGCCCATTTATTGCATGCTGATGAAATGCATTACCCTTCTGACACATCCACCTGAGCAATACTGCTCCATATAGTACTGCAAGGAAAAAATAACTAAACAGGCATAGATAAGTACAGAGCAGACACCGGGCAGAGGAGGCATGAAATGCTGCTAACCCAGAGAAGAGATTTCCAATTAGCCTTTCTCTCCACGTGACTGGCACAAGCCACTAGAAAGGACACAGAGGTTTCAAAACTGAAAATCAGGTACTGAGACATTTTCCAATGCAATCTTTTTCTAGCTCCCCTTTCCACTTAAATATTTGTGTTAGCTTTTGGATCTACCTTAACTTTTAGAGCACATGTATTTTCATTCTCAGTCCTCTGTACGGAAGTACAAGGTAAGGAAGGAAAGCGTATTTAGGTCAACTTTCAACCTTCTTTAGTCCCCTAATATCTATCCATAGTGAAGATGTGCATGAAAAGCACAGAGAAATGACAGGGAGGGAGCAGATCCCTGAGGTCCAAAGGTGCCTCATTTCTTTACTTTCTTTTTGCATGGACATTCTTTATAGCAGAGCAAGGTATTAACCTTAAGGTATTCACTACACCTTTTATCCGAGCTCTTGCTTATGCTCATTCCTAAATCCCTGTGAAAGGCTCTGAAAATATCACACTAGCTCTCAACCTGCCGTCTCCAAATAACAGGACATAAAACTGGAACAAGAACCTCTTCCTCCCACCTCCTCTCTCTCCAAAAATAAATACATGAAAAATTAATGCACAGAATCTTAAAATGTCAGGGAATTAACTTTCTTTAGTACATGTATCTTTTCCTTCTCACAAGGTTTGCTGTTTCTAGCCAGCCATCAGTTAAACAGGTTTGAAAACAAAAATAAAAAATGGCCTGTCTTAACCAGCATCTTCTTCTAAATGGATTGCAGGAATGGGCTCACCTTAACAGGCCCCTGTCTACATCCCTGTTGTCGCTCTCTCCTTGCAGAGCCATGATGTGGTTGAGTGCCTGTAAATTCAGGCATTTACCTCCTCCTATCAAAATTAATTTGTTTTTCCTGACTAGGAATTATAATAGGCTCCCTGGGAGATTAACTACAGATAAAAACATCTCCTCTTAAAATGCCTCTGTACTTCCAGGTGAGACTTGAGGCCTCAAATGTCTAAAGCACAAAGTTTTAAAACTCTGAGTGGATTGAGCGCTGTGCGGGAAATCAAGAGTGTGATATGGGCCATGTTTTCTTAGGAACCGAATCAATAGGCGACCAGTTCTGGCTCATGGATTCTTTCCTGTACTGTGACAGCTTCAACGGCAGGGGTGACAGTGTTGTCCTCTCCTCTTCTACTCCCTCTGCTGGGCCAGGCCTGCTTCTGGGGACTGAAGTCATTAGAGGCGAGAAGGGATTCAGCCTGTGGCTCCTACACCATGAGCGACTGCTCTAATCCCTGAGCCCTAGTTTTATAAAAGGGGAGAGTTTAAAGAGAAGCAAAACCTAATTCCTTATCACAGTGGATGTCCTCTGAGAAAGCCTTTCTGGTTAGTCTCCTCAGATTATCTACATGAAATGACTCCTACTTTCTGGATCCCAGTTTAGTTTACAGAATCACAGAATGCCAAAGGTTGGAAGGGACCTCAGGAGACCAACTAGTCCAACCCCCCTGCTAAAGCAGGTTCACCTAGAGCATGTTACACAGGACTTCGTCCAGGTGGGCTTTGAATATCTCTAGAGAAGGAGACTCCACACCCCCCCTGGGCAGCCTGTTCCAGTGCTCTGTCACCCTCAGAGGAAAGAAGTTCTTCCTCATACTCAACTGAAATCTCTTATGTTTCAGTTTGTGCCCATTGCCCCTTGTCCTGTCGCTGGGCACCACTGCAAAGAGTCTGGCTCCATCCTTGTAACAACCACCTTTAAGATATTTCTATGTGTTGATTAGATCCCCTCTCAGTCTTCTCTTCTTCAGGCTAAACATGCCCAACTCTCTCAGCCTCTCCTCATAGGGGAGATGCTCCAGTCCCGTCATCATCCTAGTTGCTCTCCTCTGGACTCTCTCTAGGAGTTCCTCATCTTTCTTGAACTGGGGAGCCCAGAACTGGACACAGTACTGCAGCTGGGGTCTCATCAGGGCAGAGTGGAGGGGGAGGATAACCTCCCTCAACCTGCTGGACACACTCCTAACGCACCCCAGGATACCATTGGCCTTCTTGGCAACAAGGGCACACTGCTGGCTCATGGTCAGCTTGTTGTCCACCAGGACTCCCAGGTCCCTCTCGGCAGAGCTGCTTCCCAGCAGGTCAGCCCCCAGCCTGTACTGGTGCATGGGGTTCGACCTCCCCAGGTGCAGCACTCGACACTTGCTCTGCTTCGCAAAGCAACTCTGCAGAGACAGGGATGTGCAGACACCAGGAAACACACAACCTGGAAACAGAAGGTAAAGAATTCAGACATGCCTTCAAAGTTAAGTGACAACTGATCAGTTATTCTTAGGATTGCAGTTTGGGAATGAAGTGCCTGAATTCTGAGGAATACCCACCCAATACCCATCTCCCTTCCAGAATACAGTCTTTTGGCTCTTGGATCAAGTAGGCATTATCATGGCTACTAAAGCAGCGGGAAAACATCTCTGCAAATCTGGATGGCGTTTCCAAATTCTGCAGCCTGGCACCTGTAATGTCTACTACTGATATGCTGACACCAGCAATGCCAGAGTTCAGCAACTGAACTGAGCCTTTAGACAGACCATAAACTGTCTAGCGTGAACTAGGATAGTCAGGACACTGACTCAAAGCCGGACTAGAGGGTTTTTTTTCAGAAACATTACAGTGTTCTAATATATTGGTCCTTGGCACTCTCAACATTACAAAGTACAGAATCTCGACAAAAAACTTCATCTGGCAAGTCTAAAAGCTTTCAAGCTCAGGCCTGTATTTTTGTTAATGAATGCTTTTCATTTATGTTTTGGTTGAACATTCAGTACTTCAGTGAAGTCAAATGAGTAAGTATCCAATATGGATTTCTCCATCAGAAACCTCTTTGGTGATCCACCTCCAATTACATGTCAAGGCTAACAATCACATGGAAAATAGCTTTTGGTCAAATAGAGCATCTTACTACCTTTCGGATTTGTGATAACTGTCTCTAATGGCCCATCCATACAAATTGTACTGCTTATGCTAATGCAGCTATTGGTGATTCTCCTTCAGTGCAAACAACAAGAGTTTGGAGTGAAACTTCCAAATGAATCATCACTGATTCCCAACAAAAGCTGCAGTGTCAGACAACTAGACAGCTTAAGAATTAGAGAACTACTCATACTGGAAATAAGCATAACACTGAAGAAATGCCTCTACTCCCTGCTAGATCAAAGGTTAAGAGAATGATTGAGGTACCAAACCACAGGTCTCTAGGGCCTAGGATGTCTGATGAACCTGTTCAGGGATGGAAGATACAGCACAGGACCTAAAGAAGACTTAGATATTTCTGGAGTGGCAGCTGGAGAGCTGAGGCATCGCAGATGGCACCAGGCACTTACACTGAGCAACTGTGAATCATTTCCTAAGTGACCACTATCACTGACACATGAAAAAAAGAGTTTGGTCTTGTAATTTCTCCTTTGAGTATAAAAAAAATGGAGTGTAATCGCACAACTTGGAGCTTTTCAGTTTCACACAAAAAATCCCCAAACCCAAAAAGCAAAATTTTCAGCTAGCAAGGGGAAAACTTCAGATGAGTTACAAATAGTGCTCTGTCTGAGGAGTGCAGGAGGGCAGAATAAGAACGCAGGTGAGAAGTTGTCCATGTGTCAGTACTGACTTTATCGCCTTATTATTCTGGGGGGGAACACAGAGCCTTGGAAAACCTGCTCTTAAGTGTTTTTCTGCTTATCTACAATGTAAGCTGCAAATCTGACGGTGTCCTGATTTTACCCGAAGTTTTTTATTTCATCAGTATAAATGTATATATTGTTTAGACAAATAAGGAAAAGATTCTCTATTTAAAAAGAGCAGTAAAATGAGCATCTGGGATCCAGGAGTTGTTTTCTCCATCATCTTCATCCTCTTCAGAAACAGAGCCAAAACTTATATTTGTTTCTTTTTGGTTATAAAGGCTAATGCTGGCACTTCTTAACATAAATTATGATTAAAACAAAATATGACTGGATATTGTATTTGACTTTAAAAATCTATACAGAAAGATTTGAAGTCTACCTCTCTGTTAAATATAGAAGCATATAACAGCTATATGTGACTTGATCTACAGTCAGCTGAAGTTGATAGGAGACTCCTTTAATGAAAGAGTTCAAGAGAGCATCATACAAAGTAAATGGATTAAAGTTTCTGAAGACATTTGGACTGCCTTTTAGAAAGCGTTTTAATAATTGAAATGCACATTATTTCTGCCTTCTCTCTAAGCCCCAAATATATACTGTGCCATAGTGTTAGCTAGAATTAACCTGACTATATTAGGCTGAACATTTTATAACTACTTACTGTATTATTCGTTTCCCCCCAGGCTTAATTTTTAATCTTCTCCTTCTCCTTATTTTGTTGTGGTTTTAAAATTTTTTTGCTCAATGCTTCCATAGCATGCACATCAGGAGTTGCATTTTTCCGTATCCAAAATTTGAAGTCTAAATACTGCATGGGGAAAAAAAGACCTGAAGGAAATCCTATATTGATAGACTGGTGCCCACATTTCTCTAGTTTTTATAGTTCTTTGTTGCTAAAGCTGTTGACCAGATTTGGAGAGTGGGGCAGTGTAATATTGAAACAGAGATGACCGAACAAGCCATTTGCTCGTCTGAAAGGCCCAAATACTGCTGGTCACTTCCACCCTGCAAATACTGTGACTCAGTTATTTCTAGAAATTATGCATAAAACTGGCCACTGTTTTTGTTTCCTGTGAACACTGTTGCATTGAAAAGAGAGCTGACAGGGAGGGCTGCTGGAAAAAGGCTTTTCTTCTTGCTGACAAAAGTATATTAACATCAAATGCCTGTAAAGTCAAGGTAGCAAAATTCAACACTGAAACAAGATCTACCTTCCTAGCGACAGGGACAAGTATCTGAACTTCTTCATAGAAGGGACTATGTCACTGTTGTCTTAAGAATGGCAGTAGTTATTTCTGAAAGGACATCTTCACTCTGACTCCTATGAGATGTATGGTTGTTGCACAGGAGGGTCAGACTTCTCGGCCATGCAATCAGAGTCTTCTATTCATCCCCAGTCACCACAGAAATAGCCACTATTGTTGTCATTGTTTTCAGAGCAATTGCTGCCATCCATTAGCTTTTCAGTTACAATCAGGATATTGATATCACCTACAGGGTATTAGCATTATCTTTCTGACCCCTTCAGCTCAGTTTTCCCTCCAAATAGGTGCTAGGAGATACATGCAGAGGTAAGGGAGATTTGTTTTCCCAGGAAACATCAGAGGCTGGCAACACCTTGATGCAAGGCTGTGCACCAATGTCATGGGTGCCCAGACATTCTCTTTCCTAAGCACCTGCCTGATGCATCTTGTTGACAAGAAGCACACTCACTGCCAGGTTTCTGGTCTAGTAACAGCTTCTCCCATGGTCAGATTAGCGGAAAACTTAGTAGTTTTCTTCCCTTTTTTTCTTACCTTTTAACTTCTTTCCTACCCTGGAGCACAGTCCCACAAAGACTTTCTGGATATTTTTCACCCTATCAATTCCTTCATGGGGACTATGGCTATCTGTGGTATGGTGCTGTTCTGTGCCTGCAGCACACAAGTGCTTAGTCTCTCAATAACTGAAGTGTCTAACTTAAGTCCCTATGCTCGGCATATGCAAGATCTAGTGAAATTTAATAGCTTATGATACACAAGAGGTCAAAGCAGATGATCTAATAGTCCCCTCTGGCTTCACATCTATGAAATATATATGTAGCGTAATAGAAAAGTATACAATATTATTGATTTATGGCTGAATTATTATTATATATGGCCACACCTTTGAAGCAGATCAATATAGTCCATTAATGTGCACATTATTTAATTTTTACTGTTGCTTTTCAAAAGGATTATTCTTTGCATTTATAGTGTGAGATTATTGCTGAGTGAAGAACACAGATTTGGGATCACAAATGTGCGGTAATAAAAATATGCATACTCAACAAGAATAATGTGTTTGTTTATGACATTGATGGTAGAAGATTTATTATGTTCTTGACTATTCATTTCCGCGCTTTTATGCCTTTAGATTTTGTAAATGATGCGATAGGTATTTTCAGGGTCATCACCTAATGACCATAACTGTTTGTTTAAATAAAAGGCGTGATTCTCTGCAGAATCCTGCACAGAATTTGGGGCTCAGCACTGAATGTTGTTGGGCCAGAGGAAAACAAGTGGGACACATTAATCTCTTTGCATTTAAACATCTTTGCACTGTGGGTATAAAATACCGCCAGGCTGATACAGAATGCTTCTGTGGGTGAAGTATGCACTGAACTTAGAGCAACTGTAATGCAATCAAAGAAAAAATATTGGAGAGGGTAATTTCCTTCAACCTTTTTTCTAATGAAAGAATAGCAATTTGACTAATGAGCTTCACCATGAATATTCTCAGTTACAGGTGAAAAAACAGCAAAAAAATACGGAGATACTTCTAGTAAACTGCCAGGTAGTTCACTGAAAGCCAGTCCAGGATGGTGGGAAGATGTTTAAACACAAATAAGCAGGAGATACATTGCACAACAGTTTGTAAATACTATTCTGTATATGCTTTCTAAAACCAAATGTTTACCTGAAAAGCCACCAAGAGTTCATTTAGGTCCCAAAAGATAGTACTCCTCCTTCTCCTTCCCCTTCCCTCCCATCTTGCCAACAGAGAGGTGTATGATGTCCCAAAATAACACACTTGTGACAAAATACCTTTTCCTTGTTCCTTAAGTTTTCTAGGCATAAAGAGAGGTAACAAATGATCCACTACAACTCCTCACACTGTGCAAGGTTAAACACTTCCTCCTTTGTAAGAACAGGGCTCTATGAATTGTCACATAGCCATGTACTTCAAGTCTAGCGTGAGTTTATATGCAAACCTTAATTTTAAATATGATTAATCTACTGACTTGGGACCTTAATAAATGTTGTTCTTTTAATATCAATAATGAATCCATTGAAATACATTGGATTACTTACAACAGAATCATGGCTGATTTCAAAACATTTTTGTGTGTATTAAAAATATCTGCTTCTCTTCTACACAAAGCTTTCCGAGCCCAAGGCACCCTTACCTGTTAGAACCTATGAGCCTCCTTTTACAAGAAATGCAAATTCAAACAGAAATAAGTTTTGTAGTTTATAGTTGCTTTGGTACTTTGGGCCTTACAAAGCCATTTCATGCTTCAAGTGCCAGCTGATATTTCAAACGCAGATATTAGGTCAATATCATATTTTAGAAGTAAGCTTTTTATCTTGAGAACTTTAACTGTTATTTGCGTGTCAAAATATTTACATCCAACTATTATTTTATTAAGATTAAATAAAGTCGATTCTGCTTTAATGGCACATACCTTCAATTCGCCAATAGAAGACAGAAGTCCTGCCCCGTAAGCACGTAGTTGTCCTTCTTGCTTGCAAAGGCCAAATTCAATCGTAAAAAAATAGCACTGTAAAACATACAGATACATACAGTGTAGTTGCAAACGGGCACTTCAGCAATGGCAATTGCTACCATATTCACTTGATTGCCCCATTTCTTCAGAATTTCATGGTTTTAATATAAATTCATATCAAGTATGTTATTACTGCTGAGTACTTTAAATGTCATGTTCTGCAGTAAGGGAGCTTTGCACAAAAATATGAGATCCTGGGTTTTGTCTGGGCACACAAGCAGTTCACAGGAATGGCCAGTTAGGAACAGACAAGCAAGATTGTTTAGGTATCAAAGGCACTGATAGTAACCTGCAGAGATTTTTGAAACCTTATGAAATAAATGACGTGCCTTAAAATAAAATTCTGCAAGGTAATTGGTCTGCCTGTCTAGGAACCTCTGAAGATCTCTGAGATCTAGTTCAGAGCACTCAGCTTTAAGCTCAAGCTGATATCACTTTAAAAGTCTGGCACATATTTAGGTGTTGTCTTGAGTTAGAATGAACTTACTTGTATGTATGTGCTTAAGAGCCTTCTTGAGCCGAGGCCTTAGTCTTCACTAGATTTTACTCTGTCATAAATGAAGAACTAATATGCCACTTGGCTTCTTAAATTACAGAAAGAAAATTACAGTCAGCTGAATGAGTTCACTTGACCAATCCATTACGATTGTTCTTTAGTTCTACGTTCGATCAGGTAACATATCTGAGCTGTAAAACTGATGAGAAGCTGTGAAAGAGATGTGCTCAATCAATGTAACAGTACTGTATCTAACTTTGCTGTATCCACCCAAAAAAGTTAAATGTTAGGGAGACCATAAGAAGCACAGAGAGCCCACTGTCCTCTAAATGCAAAAGATGACAGTCACTTCTGCTCCTACAGTACTGAGTTTTGCTTTGGATTTGTTATGACACATCCAGAATGCTTTCTGATGCTAGATCAAACAGTTGAGATTAAGCTAGCAACTATTTCTACATATGAAGGTTTTAGGAAGTCGATTCCTAATGTATACAAAAATACTGCATATATATATATATATATACACACACACACACACACCCCTATATATATGTGTGTGTGTGTGTTTATTACATTATCTGACGATTTCAGGTTTTGTGCAAAGGGATGTAACTCACTGAACCTAACAGATTTACATGTCTTTGCAGGAAATACTATTTCAGGATAAGAAACAACCCAGTATTTGGTACTAAATCTTAAGTTGTTCTGAATAACTTGAGAACGGATCTTAACACAATGATTTTTTCATCCGTTTCCTCCTTAAAGCCCCACTCTTCAAGGCTGAATATCGTACCAAATGCAAAAGAGCAGAAATTAACAGCTCTTTTAAGTTCAACAAATGTTTAGAAATTGAGAAATGATTCATTTCTCTGCCTCTCATAGAAGTTCCTGTGGAGCTAGTGATTCATGCAGCATAGCACTATGAAGAAGGGTGTAATAAAAAAGAATAAAAACATGAGCCCTGTGTCTGATCCAAACCTGCTAAGTCAGCTGGGAAGGAAAGGTTGCAGTGACTTCAAATGTCTTGAGTCAGATTCCAACACAGCAGTCAAAGGTACAGATATCCACAAGAGGACATGAAAGCACAACATTGTCAAAGAAACAAACAAAAAAACCCCAAAACAAACAAAAAAAAAACCCAAACCAACAACAACAACAAAAATCAAAGTTCCACCTCTGGCTTTGCTATTGACTTGGATAAGCCAAGCTGGTATAGAATTTTTCATTAGATGCAATGAGCTGATGTCACTACTTAAAGGAAGGCCAAGACAAGTCGTTTCCAAAACGGACACCTCAGGGACAAACAGCCAGGTACACAAAATGACAAAAGCATCACCCTAGGAGTGATAAGTGAAGCAGAGAGACCTACCACCAAGCAGAACACAAACTTAGCTTCCCTGCCTAAATATTTTGCCAGAAAAAACCTCCAGGAGGCTACAGACCTGGTTCTGTAGATGCTGCCACTGTCAGCGATGAACCACTCAGCTTTACACTTAAATCCCACTAACATCTTTGAATTTGCCCCCTCCTCCTCATCTTAAAAGAGCCCACCAGGTAGCAGTCATTATGAACATGAACACCCTGACAGATACACAGCAGCAGTGGGCTCCTGATAAAACACAGTGATCATGGCCATTTTCATTCTCAAAACCAACAACAGCTAAAAAGGAGGGAGTCTGGTGTTTGTCTGTTCTAGATCTGCAAGAGCAGCCACGACTTTGTCCCTATACGTGGGACACCTTTACCGTAGACCTTCCTCAGGCTGAGGAGGACCAAAGCAATGTCATGCTGCTCCCGGGAGAGTGCCCACTCAGCAATCCACAGGGCCAGCAGAGGGAGGGAAGAGAAACGCTCTCCTCATCCTCAGGGAGGACACGGGCTCACAGAGAAGGAAGGGGCAGATCCCTGCTGTCCAGGGCTAGGCTGTCCACAAGACAGAGGGAGACCTCAATTTCACATCCTTGATGGACAGACAGCACACACAGACAGAGCTTTTTTTACTTAAGTTCAGAAATTATTGTAATTGTTACTATTGCAAAAGGGAATTGTATTTAGGAGCCAACACTTGCTGGTGAGAGCCTATCGTCAGTATTGGCAAGACTTGCACTCTCAGTATAACTAACTCAAATAAAACGCATACAAAATGACCAGATGATAAAATACATCTGCCTGCTACTAACTTGCAGTATTAAGCTATAGCATTAAGAAAAGCCCTTCAAATGAAAAGCTGATTTTTTGATAAATTTGCCATATGCAACAACTACAATTCCTGTATTTAAGAGAGCTGTGCTTAGCCAAGAAAATGAGATAGCTCACCCAATGCTGCCATCTTCAGATCATAAGTCAGCAATACACGATTCCCCCCACCCTCCCACTCACAGACGGACACGCAGGGGCTGCTCCATGCATGACGAGACTCCGCAGGCTTTGGCAAGCTGTGCTCTCAAGTCTACAAACATCGAGGCATACTGATAAGGAGGTTAAATATTAACTATAAAGAGACACTTTTTATAGACCAGACGCATAAATGACCACTCTGTGCCTCTCTCTGTGTGCTAAACCACACTGACTGTGTTATTCTATATTATATACAGGATAATGGCAGTGTTAGGTTAACTGATGGACTTGATGATCTTTTCCAACCTAAACAATTCTATGGTTCTGTAACTGTGCTGGAGTGGGAATGACTGAACAAAGAAATGGCTGTTGAGATTAATCAAATTTTTAAAGCTTCACCTGAAGGCAAATAGCTGATTATTACATTGTTGTTACATGTAGGCTGGTAAACGCAAACACAAATGGGAGCATGTAGGCTCTCATGTTCTGATTTCAAATCTTGGACCTGCCTCTGGCATACTTCCCAGCCTGCAGCCCCAGACCCATGGCTCCTCTATAAGCTACAGCAATATCCTGTCGTCTCCCTTTACTTCCAGTTCCACCTCATCTTTGGGGTGAAGTGTGGCTTTGTTACAACCTAGAGGTAGGCTCTTGAAGTAGGAAAGGTGTCTTCCCATGTTGTATAAATTCTGTAGTTCTTGAAGAGTCTTCCACTAAAATGCTGCTCCATTAGCCAAATCAGCAAAATAAGATGAAGAATCAAACAGCCAAGTGAAGGATTAAAAAGAATTTTTAAGTCAAGAGACATCAATCAAGACTGTGCCAGCAGCTCAAGACAGTGTATGATATGACTTTAATTTATTTCTCTTATTTAACAAATGTATATGAAAGATACTTCACAGTCATGCTCATGAAACACTGTCTACATGGATTCAAAGTTATTAAATAGATCCATGGTAGAAAATCCTATTAAGGGCTATTAAATACTAATATAGCAGATCTCTTCCTTCAGAGTCCCTGAATCAAAAGTCATTGGCAACTAAAGCAGTATACCAGGAAAATGTCACCACTGTATGGCTTTATATCTACACTGTCCTTCAGATGCCTGCAATTTGCCAGTCTTAGAGACAAGATACTGGGGCAGCAGGTCTGGCCCAGTACATGTGCGATTCTAAGAGTCAGATCAGTTGTCCTAGTATTGATAGGGAAGATACAGAACAGGTCAAGCCCTGGCAAACTCCAGGTCTGATCTCCAAGGTAAATGCAGTGTCTGTTCTTCATGTTCAGATACTGTCCTGCATTATAAATTGGGCTACCAAAAAGAAAAAATCAGTGACAGCTGTGAAAGCTAATAAAAAAATATCATTATTCAAGGGTGTTTAGAAATTTTCAAAGGCTGGAAAAAAGGTCTGATAAGCTCAACTCTCCTCATCCAACTGGTGTCTAAGGCTTTGAAAAATCACTCTTCACATCACATCATTTTGCATTTGGGAATCTCCCTCCTGGGACCTGTGCAAAGACTTTGTGCAGGGTGTTGGGTGCTAATGTCACAGAATCAGTACTTCAAAATCTGACTTGTCCATAAAAAGGCCTTTCAAGCCATTCCACTTCGCATAGTTTTCTTATGGTATAGCTTAGAGACCAATATTTGTGTTCACTTGGCAATTTTCAGCATTATGTATAACATGAGATTTTATCTGTTCTCTAAAAGTACCTTGTAAAGATGTTGTCAGGACGAGTCCTGAGAACACAAACAATGTCAAGAGCTGATTCACCTGCACTCCCTGTCACAAGGGGGAAGAAGGAGAGACGGAGTAGCTGCACGACTGCAACCCTAGCACATGGATGGGAATATTCACCACTAATGGAACTGCTATTGGGATGGGACTACAGCCCCAAGCTGACATGTAGTAGCACAATCACTTTATATATATATAAAAAGCTAGTTGCCATGAAGACAATACAACTACTAATATGTGTAAATACTTGCAGGACCAGTGCCAAATAAATATCCTTAAGAAAACATCTTTACATTCTTTCTACTGGCTTTAAGATTTCAAAAGGTATTTGAATGGATCACTCTTAATTCAGATGCTTGTGATATGTTCACAATATGCAAAGATTAATTCCTTTTTCTTTAGGAGACCTTTGACATTTTAGC